GGCTTTGGGGCGGGGCCTGCAGGGGAAGTCCTGGTTCACTTCCCCATGGAAACCATCCTGTTAGGGGTAAAGGGTGGGGAGCCATGTTTAAGTGACAGAAAGCTTGGTGGACTCCCAGCTCTCCTGCTGCTGAATTTAGACTGGACGGCACAGAGGGCCTGGAGCTGGAGTGGAAGAAGCATCTCTTCAGCAGTACCTCCACCCTTCTGTCCCCTGCCCCTTGCCCACCACTTCCCAGCCTCCACCCCTGCCCACCCCTTTCCCAGTGCCCCCCAACCCCCACCCCAGGCCTGGCTGCCTCAAACATAAACAGGCTCCTGTCTTCACTTCCTGCCATTCAGGGTCCCGCCAAGCTGGGAACAGGAATCAAGATTGTTTAGATTGGGGTCTGGATAGAACAGGCAGGAGTCACGCACAGAAGAGAATTCAGGGAAGGTTCTCAGTGCAGGCTGGGGTGGCTACAGGGTCCGCATGAGCCACCTGGGGCTGGGACACCCCCAAGATAGAATCTAGGGGGACACGTTGTGAGTCACAAAGCCCAGCCCCTTATTTTAGAGAAGAAGGGGACTAAGACTCAGACAGGAGAGGGGGCTTGTCCAAGGTCAGACAGTGGCAGTACCAGTAGTACAACCTAGGTGTCCAGACTCCCAGTCCAGTGCTTTTTCAGCTCCATCTCCCAATCCGGGGTGGCAGCCTTTGCCTGAGCCCCTGAACAACCACACAAAGCTTGGACAATGAGTGCGGGGTCATGCCAGGTATGAAGGAACCTCTCTGCACCCTCCTCAGAGTATAAGATGCCCTCTTGGAGCCACTCCCTGGCCCCCTGCTCTCTCCTTGCCGTCCTGGGAAAGGGTGGGGGTAGGGCCAATGAAGTGGAGGGGAAGTGAAACATACTTAGACGTTGAATGCTTGACCTTCCATGGCTGGTTAAGGTTGAACTTTTCCAGAAGTTTGGTGGAGAGCGTTAGGGGAGTAATTCTGAACTGTGATAGTCCCCATCCCAGGTCCCAAACCAGCTAGTGCTTCAGAAGCCACCTCCTTCTTCATTTCTCAAAGGTTTAGAACAAGATTAGGGCTGAGGCTGCAGCAAGAAGGACTGAGGTCAGACTGCAAGAAGGACTTTCTGAATGGTAGAGAGTGTGCAGGTGGATCCCCAGGCAGGGGCAGCTGACCTGAGGGAGGGGGAGTATCTTCTGGTGTGATACGGTCAGGCTGGTAGGGCTGGGCAGATGGCCACATAGGCTGCAGAAGGCCCCTAGTCTAAGAAGGGTGCCAAATGAAGATCCACGATGCTGAGGTCTGAGGGCAGGATGACTGGGGGGTGTAGGGGGGTGCTTTGTGGGCCTCTCTGGCTGGTGGCAGCTCTGGCCTTCCTGCCTGGGCTTCCTCTGCCCCCAGAGGCCCGGGCTGGGGGAGGAAACGGAGCCCTGGGTTGCTGCAGCTGTGTCCCCAGCCTCTGCCTGACCTCCTGCCTCTTGCCCCTCCCGGAAGGCAGTGAGGACTCCAGCAAGCACTCTACAGTGGGACTGGTGGCTGGAAACGGAGCCCCTGACAAGCTGAATTTGTCCACTGGGGCAGGGGCAGGAATCCATCCTTGGCAGCCTTTACCCACAAAGCAGCTTAGGAGAGGGTGTGCAGCAAGCAGGAAAAAGTGGGTGACAATAAGGATGACAGCTGGCATCCTTCTAGGGTCCCGTGCTTTCACTTCTCTTACTGTGCCCCAGCTCTCCCTCTTACCTACTTTATTAGGCAGCAAAATCACCTGAAGTGCTTCATTAGAAATGCACAGTCTTTGGTTTCACCCCCCTACTCCAGATTCTGATTCGGTCCATCGGGACCAGTAAGAAACACATATTTTTATAAAGTTCCCCAGGTAATTCTGATCAGTTCATGTGGGTGCCGCACTTTGAGAACCGGGTCCTACACAATGCTGACTTGTGCTTTCATTTCACTGGGTAGGGCCCTGCTGGGTGATCCGGAGTGCAGTGCAGAGGGTGGGAGTCTCACTCCCACTCGGGGATACACCCCCACCCGACTCTCCTGGAGACCCAGACAGACAAGGCTAAACACTGGAGCCAGGGACTTCGAGACACTACGGAGGGAGGGTGGGGGAGGACACTGTTCAGGCCATCTCCAGCCTCTGGGGCCCAGGAACAGTGCAGGGATGGCCTGGCAGCATGTGCAGAATCCACCTCTAGTTCAAGCCTGGGAATGTGGTGGAGGAAATTGTGACTGTCCAGTTTTTAACTGCGCCCAGCATCAGGTTAAGTACAGGAGGGTGATGAGTCCAGGCCGGTCCCAACTCGGAGCTGACCCTGCACAGTTTGCCCTCAGACCTGACTCTAGCACAAACAGACTCCTGGGGACGGCTGGTATCCTTTTACTTCTAACCAAACTTCCTGAAAGGGCTCCTGCTGACAGAAGCATCACAGTTTTTAGCCAGAAATCACAAATGCTAAACTAATTTCAAACACGAAACTACCACTGTGAAGATCTTAATAATAAGCGTTATCCTAACTGAATCGCTTTGCTGAACACCTGAAACTAACATTGTAAATCAATTACAATTCAATAAAAAATAAAATTAAAAAAAGAGTTAACCTTCTGTGAATACCACTAACGTGCTAAGTACTGAACTTTGACAGCTGATCTCATTTAATTCTCATGACAATCCAATGGAGAAATGGAGGCTCAGGGATGTTAGGTTTCTTGCCCCAAATCACCATGTGTGTCTTGATCAACTTAAATTGCTGTTAATAAATTCTTGCTTAGTCATCTTATTCCTCCAGTTGTTTGGTGTTAGGTAGGTTCCAAAAAGGAGGAAAAAGGGCAAGTGGGGGCTGCATGAACAGACTGCTGTTGTCATCACCAGGTACTCAATGTGTGTTTGTTTAGAAATCATCTGTTTGCCGTAGGCTTAGTCTTAGTTGGGGAGAACTAAAGTAGGGGTGTACTTGGAGGGTGGATATCAATCTCCTTCTCCCCAACCCACCTGAGGGACTGATGTAACCGGCTCCCATCAGCAGCAGTGGCTCAGCACAGCGGTGACTGTCATAGCTTGCTCTGCACATCAGCAGATTTTACCCAAACAGCACTGGATCCGGGCCAGAGTGAGCTGCTCATCCAGGGTTGCCCCTTACCATCACATAGCACCTTATGTGCATCACTTCATTAGCCCTTCACCGCAGTGGGATGTAGCATCAAGTACTCAATAAATGGTGAGAGGTTACTTATACTCAATAAACCTGATGAGATGAGACGACAGGTACCAGGACAAATTAACAGTAAGGGGTCATAGATGTTGGACAGACCCTGACTCAGCCAGGAGCTGCCCACAGAGAGAGGGCGAAAGCTACTGTCCACTATGCCTCTGTCCTTGGAGAAGAAAAGAGGGGGTGGGTGAGCAGCCCAGCGATGGTGTCAGAACAGCACTGGCCTCCAGGGCAGACTGAAAACCTGGGGTCCCAGCTGGAGGGAGACTGGGAACCCCTCTGACCTGGATCCTGAAGGAAGTCCATGGTCTGGGGATCATTTGACCACAGCGGGTTGGGGGTGAGGTTTTGGAGGGAGTTACAGTGTCAGATTCCTTTAGCAAGAGCTACAAGGGCTGGTCTGGGAAAGGTGGGCTTCAAGGGGAGGTTCAACAGCGTTGTTTAAGTGGACACCCATTCCCAGGTCAAGCCAAGTGCCTGGAAGGACATGTGACCCCCGTCTGTCTCTGCAGGTGAAGTAGGGCAGGGATCCTTCCGCCCATTTTAT